TTTTGTTTTTCTAGACAGGGTTTCTCTGTGTAGCCCTGGCTGTCTTGGAACTCCCTCTGTAGTTCAGGCTGGCCTGGAACTCAGAAATCCACCTGGCCCTGCCTCCTGACTGCTGGGATTAAAGGCATAAAACCTGGCTGTTTCATTTATAAACTTTTGAAACTCTAAACTTTCTGATTTGGGTGCTGGGAACTGAACCCAGGTCCTCTACAATATAGCAGCGAGCACTCTTAACCCCTGGGCCGTCTCTCCAGCCCTTATTCGTTACTTTCAAACAGACCAGTAAATGTATTTGTATACAATTTTGAAATAATTATTCTCAGTGGAGTTGTAAAACCAGCAGGCTCCTAACCTCTGGCCAGCTTCCCCCAAGAGTATTATAGTATATGGCTGTAATATAAGGACAAACCAGAAAATTAACATCAGTGCAATATTTCTTAGTTGAAAATGGGCCTAATTTAACTTTCACATGTGTTCATTCATGTGTGTGTGTGTGCACGTGTGTGTGTGTGTGTGTGTGTGTGTGTGTGTTTGTGCGCACGCATGTGCAGGTACTCATAGGGGCCAGAAGAGGGCACTTGGATCCCAGGAAGTTGGAGTTACAGGCAGTTGTGAGCTGCCCAATGTGGGTGCTGGGAGTTGAACTAGGGTCTTCTGTAAGAGCTTCAAGACTCTTAACCACCAAGCCACCTCTGCAGCACCCTTACATTTGTGTGCAGGTTTTGCGTGGACACGAGTTTCATGTCACCTGAGGAAGAGGCAGGCCTAAGATGGTGTGTCACCTGGGAAGTAGATACCTGTGCTTTCCAGAAACAGCCGCACTCTTGCAAAGCACGCTGTTTGCATCTCCCCCGCAGTGTGAGAGTCGCAGCTGCACCGGGGAGGGCCTCTCTTGTGTGTTTGGTTATTGATACGGGGGTCTTGCTATGTAGCTCAGACTGGCCTGAAACTTATATATAGCCCAAGCTAGCCCCAAGCTGCAGATTCTCCTGCCTCGGTGTACCGCATCCTGAGGTTACAATTATCCATCGCCACATCCAACTTGATAATAATCACTGGACTTCCCCTTTTTTCTTTCCTCTCTCCGTAAGAATAGAGCTTGGCTTTCTAACAAGGACCTCCAGTGTTTAAGACGGCACGTGGCGCACAAAAAGCGTTAGTACTTGTGGGGTGGGTGTGTCTGGGAAACCTCTGTGACCCTCCTCTCATCCTGTGCCTCTCATTTTTCCTCACTGGTAGAGCTCCTTGGCCTGGCTGCCCCATTTAGGACTTGCGTCCTCTCTCGCGCCCCCTCTGGATTCCTGCCATGCAGCCTGGAGGGCTGGCCCACACTGGAAGCTGTTGATGCAGGGCTTCCTCTGACGCTCACTGGACACTCGGAGGTCCTCTCTATACTGCTCTGCGCTGTGTTTCTGCAGGATCAAGACCCAGTCGTCACGGCGGTGATCACTTGCTCTCCGTGATCCTGACTACTGCGTCTACAAGGCATCAAGCAAGCCCTTTCCTTGGTTTCTCTGCCTGCAAGGAAGTGGCAGAGATAGAGAAGAGCCCAGGTTAGACCAGAACGAATATATAGAACTTACAGACCAGTGGGAGAGATCAATAATAATGCAAAGATGCAAAATTTGAATAATTATAGGTGAAGTCGTACTTCAAAAAAAATAACATTTTTAATTTATTCTCTGAAAAATTTATACATGTATACAATGTATCTTGATCATATCTATCCTTACTTCCCACCTCCTCCCCATAGGTCTCCCCAGGTGTTGACTTCTTTTTTTTTTTTTTTTTTGGTTTTGTGAGTTGGGGGACTTACTGTGTAGTCCTGGCTGGCCTGGAACTTATTATGTGAACCAATTGGTCTTGAACTCACAGAGACTCACCTGCCTCTGCCTCCTCCCAAGTGCTGGGATTAAAGATCTGAGCCACCAGGCCCCACCAGGTACTGACTTTTTAACAGATAGTGGTAGAATCATTGACTCTCTGGCCCGACCAGGTAGTTCAGTGGTTAGAGCTTGCTGTGTAAACCCGAAGGCCTGCATTTGACCCCAGATCTCATGTAAAGGTGGGAGGTGAGAAATGACGCCACAGACTTATCCTCTGACCTCCATAGGAGTACCTCGGCAAGAGTACCTACACACACACCACACACACACACACACACACACACACACACACACACACAC